TACAAGAAACAGGAGACGAACAAGCGAATCCATTCTACCACGCCACACCAATTGCTATCCAACCTAAAACCCAACCCAAACCCCACAAATCCAAATCCATCACTTAGCCCCCGCCGCTTTCGCCGCTTTCGCCGCCTCAGCCAACTTCGCCTTCTTCGCATTCCTCTCCGCCTTCTTCGCATCCTCAGCCCTCTTCTTCCTCTTCTGTCCCTCCTTCCACCTTGCATCATAAATATGCCACATTTCCGTCGCCCCGGCTTTTGCCGCTTCCGCAAGTCTCTTCGCCGCAATCGCCTTCCACTCATCGGTGCCCTCCTCCGGCTCAGGTGTCTTGTCCACTTCATCCGCCCAGCCCAATCTCTCGAGCAACTCGACCAACTCGCGTCGGTTGAGCTTGAGTCCAAACGGCGCTTCGATTTCTTCGAGGAAATCAGTACTGATGCGTCCGCGATTACCTTCGTAGTCGCGCACGAGACACATGGTCTCGTCGTCTTTGAAGTGGCCATAGACGAGCACGATTTCGCCCGTGTCGAAAGGAGGTTGTTTTAAGGGGGTTTGGGGTGTATATTTTACTGGTTCCTGGGGTTCGAGGACGCGGAAGAGAGGAAGTTGGACGGAATCGATACGCTGCTGCGCTTCGCGTTGGTAGAAATCAGGGGCTTGGGCTCCTTTTTTTAATTCGAGACGGTTGATTCGTTGAATTATTTCGGATCGTTTTCCTTTGGTGGGAAGACCGCGTCGTCGGGCTTCCCATTGGAGGTCTAGACGACTCATTCCTCTGGGATTGAATGGTAAGCGATGATTATCGCGGAATTGTTCATTGGCCCATATTTGAACGGGCAGTGAGCCATCGATTCCCCATGGAAAAGGTAATTGTTGTAGATTTCTATATTTGACACGGCCTTGATCGAGTCCATATCCTTCGAGCCGTGTTACTAGGGGCTGATGATTTTGTATATCATAAACTGGTTCGCCTAGATCAAGAAGAAATTCTCCCCAGCGAGGAGCGAAATCTCCGACCCAAACTTTATCGGCAGAAAGTCCTTGGGGTCGACCATCTATTGTTAATTCTGGGTAGGGAAGCCCTCGTTTATCGGTTGGGGGAACGAAGCGGTAGACGCAGAAGTCGAGGTTGCGCCATGGTCGCTCGAGATATTGTCGAGCTGCGGCGCGTTCGGCCCTTTCTTCGCTAGTCAAAATGCCGGCCATGGCTGCTAGAGGGTCGGAGTATGTAAGTATATGCTGGCCTTGGGTAGGGATATGATTAGAGTTTCATGAGATTAGAATGGGAATCTCAGTGAAGTTTCCTGGGTGTCAAGGTTCCAACAGGAAAATTAGAGATGGAAACTCGAGATAGGGTTTGGAACTTACTGTACAATGGTCTAAAATATTTTCGATCCTCAAAGGGGATAAAGAATGGCTGTTGGTAAACAAGCGACACGAACTTTCTCCTTTCATGTTATGTTTAAGATGAATTTGAATGACGGATCCGGAAGGCGAACAAAGACTTATTCGAATAGCGCCAAATCGAAGCGAATTTATCGAGTTGAATTTCAGGAGATCTTTATTCCTCCGTGTTTTTGTCACTTCAGTATTTCGAGGTTAGGGCTTATATTGTGGAAGTTGATTAGAAAGAAATATAATGACAAAGATAAAGTGATCACGAGGAGAACGAAAATTGCTGAAGAAGCTCTTGTCATATCCTTGATAGGTCAAGCAATTGATCAGAGAAGAGAAGTTCATTTAGGAAAAGACCACTGGAACAAACTCACACATCACTTACATAGCTATGAGAATTCTTCACTTCCAAACTAAGGGTAGCTTTCTCATTTTGGCTACACAGGCTCTTCATAACATCAAATGATATGGATTACTTCCAGAAGTGAAAGAGCTCTCAGTCCTGAAGTGTCCTCTACCCAGGGTTTGCGCTCCAGTCTCGCATTGTTTCTGAGCCCATCTCACTTCCATAGAGTTCTACTACGCCATCCTAGACCAATCCTCTCATACGTTTTTTTTTTCATTTAGGAAGCGTTTTCGGTATTGAAACTGGAGCAAGTGATTTCACTTGATTAACGTCGAGCAGAAATGCCACTATATTTCCCTTCTCGCATTCGCCATCTATGTATTCATCGATGCCTTATGAGAATTCATATAGGCCTGCACAAATTCCCAATCATATAGGCACTCGCCATGTCTAGTGTGGTGCTCATGGTGAAATAGTAGAGCCTGTCATCGTAATACACCCACTTAGAGACGAATCAAAGGATGATATGTCCAACATAAAGCAGTGCCTGGGATTCGACAGCCTGGTTTTAGATGCATTCTAATTGTGATAAGAAGAGAAAAGAATAAGACAAGTGTCGAGCAAGAGGGCTTGTATGAGAATGCAGAATTTCTCATGAGACAACAGACATTTTACCTAGCTGCTGTTGATAATAGGAAATGAAGCATAGCACCTTTAGAGTGCAGACATATTGGATGGCTTATATGTGTAGCTGTTGCAAAGTAAGACCAATATTTCCTCGAAAAATAATCAATAAAAAGCTTCCAAGTAGTTTATATGACTTTCAATGGAAATTCCTGATTGTTCGATTTGATGTCAATATTCAAAAGAGTACGAAGTTTAGGTGCATTTTTGGTTTGTTCACATGAAGAATGCAATTGTGATAAAATATTCACTTTCCTTACCAAAAACACACCTTGCACATAGAGAGTGACCTGCCGAGTGTTCTTAGGTGCACACCTTACAAAATACTAGAAACAGTCACATTTCTCGTACTGTTTTTGATCCCTGTACATTATCCCTGCAAATTTATTCTCTATCAGACAAAAAAAAGTTGACGAGAAAACGAAATATACTTGAATATTCTACACAATCACCCACAATGCCTCCCCTACGGTCCAAAAGTCTGCCAATGGTAGCGCAAGACCAAAAAAGGATGCGCGAACAATTCTTCAAGAGAGTGAGGAGAGTGCCAGTGACAATGAGAGTGTGAACATGATGGATAAGGATTCCTCTGAAGAAGAGTTAGACAGACTTGTTTTGGGAGATGGTGCAGGATTCACGGCTCAATTGGGTCAAGATATGGATTTCAAATCAGAAGAAGAAGAAGAAGAAGAAGAAGAAAAGGATCAAGATGAGGAACAAGAGGATATTGGAATTGAGGGTGTTGACGATGCAGATGTACAACTCCGCCGCTCAATTATAGAGAACAATCACTAACTCTTTCTCTATAGCTATTTTTCCTTGACTCCGGACCATCCACAGTGCCTCAAGATGCATTGATACCACGCCCACAACCTGAAGACGAAGAAGGAGGAGATGCGCTGGCCTGGGAAGATAGCGACGATGATCGATTGAATGTATCTCTAGCTGGAAATTCTCGATTAAGAAAACTTAGAGTCAATGAAGGAGAAGATATAGTTAGTGGAAGAGAGTACACACGGCGACTACGAATGCAATTTGAGCGCCTCAATCCTGTTCCAGAGTGGGCGCAATCTTCTAGGCCGGCAAAACGACGTCGCAGGTCATCTGCAGCCTCCAACTCTTCGATGTCTTCGGAAGATATGGACGTTGATGATTCCGACCTTTCTACATTACCTCTCGCAAGACTTCTTCAAGACGCCGGAGCTCTTACAAAAGAAGCACCTGCAACCTCAAAAAGACCAAAACTCAGACCTGAAGTTCTCGATATTCAAAGAACGAGGGATATACCCAAAACTCAACCATCAGCTGTCACTTCTCTTTCCTTCCATCCAGAATACCCAGTCATACTTTCTTCAGGGCCATCATCGACTTTATATCTACATCACTATGCGCCTACAGCCCATCCACATCCGCATCCACAACTTACTAGCATTCACGTTAAGAAAACCCCGATTGCTACATCCGCATTCCTTCATCCTTCCGGAGATAAAATCATTTTCGCTGGTCGACGCCGTTATTTCCATATCTGGGATCTTCCTTCCGGAGAAATAAACAAGGTTACGCGCATTTATGGGCATAAGGATGATCAAAAGACTATGGAAAGATTCAAGCTCAGCCCTTGTGGCCGATATATGGGACTGATTGGTTCATCGAAGAAGGGAGGCGGTCTTATAAATATTCTTGATGCAACCACAACACAATGGATAGCATCAGCAAGAATTGAAGGCAAAAATGGAGTTGCCGATTTCGCCTGGTGGAGAACTGGAGAAGGATTGACAGTTGTAGGAAAGGGTGGAGAAGTAGGAGAATGGAGTATGGAAACTGGATCTTTTGTCGCTCGTTGGAATGATGATGGTTCCATTGGTGCTACTGTCCTCACACTCGGTGGACCAAATGGACCCAAACAACTCGGTGGGGATCGATGGGTAGTGATTGGATCTCAAAGTGGTGTGGTCAATATTTACGATCGCAAGAATTTCATCTCAGGAAACGATATTAAAATACCCGAGAGACCGGAGCCAAATAGACGACTTTTGCAATTAACGACACCCACAAGTCATTTGCAAATTAGTCCTGATGGACAATTGTTGGTTTTTAGTAGTAGGTGGAAGAAGGACGCTTTGAGACTGGTACATCTACCTAGTTGTACAGTATATAAGAATTGGCCAACATCGAATACGCCATTGGGAAGAATTTCATCCGTGGCATTTGGTAGTGGAAGCGATGTTTTAGCAGTTGGTAATGAAGCTGGAAAGATTAAGTTGTGGGAAATTAGAAGTTAGTGGTATAGATTTAATGAATGATTATAGTGTCGGATTTGACATACTTTTGTTGAAAAAAGGAGAAAACAATGTATTTGATTGGCAGTGAGGAATTCACAAAACTATGTAGGTCAAGCTTGATCCAATTTTTTTCAACGTTGAGATCAGTCATATCATCCTATCTATTCAAGCTCCGGAATTCATAAAAGTAAGATCTTCACATATCCACAACCCTTTCAATTACCCTCTGTTATCTATTTCACGTATTTCATCCCTACTCTTCACAATCTCCCCTCCCTTCGTCGCCCCATCTATCTCCTCTTAAAAAGCAATCCCCTAACCGGCCCCCCTTTCTTCGCCTCACTCAATGCATAAAACTTTTTTTCCCTAATCGTATACGCGAGAAGCTCTTTTTGACTCGAGAAAATTTTCACCGGGATGCCGGTCTCATAGTGTTCCAATAGTTGACAGATATTGACGTGGACGTTAGAGAGTGCCTAGAGGGATAGATGGATGTGTTAGTAAGGGGAGATTTGAGATTTGAGATGTGAGATTGATGACAGGGATGAGTGAGGAGTGAGTGAAAAGCGAGGGACGAAGTAAAGAAATCCAGTGAATGATAACTATCACAAACCCCCCGAGACTCCAATCTCCAGCCTACAACCCCCCCTCTTCCACCCCATCTCTTCTCCTTCCAAACAACGCACAAGAACAACACTCAAACCCACCTTTCTACACGCATTAATACTCCTCAAATGCCGCGCTCCAGGAATCTTCACATCCGCGCACAATTGTTGCCAATTTCGGAGATCGCTTACGTTTCCGAAGTATCTATCAAAGTCTCCTGCGATATGGGGGTGACGGGGAGGCATTTTGTGGTTCGTGGGAGAGAAGCTGGTGGATGCGAGCGCACGCGGTGGACAGGGGAGAGAGGTGGGTCTGTGTGGGATGGGATGAGGAGTGACGAGGTAGAGTAGATGTTTATGGTTGGATATTTATTTTATGGTGGGAAATTCAAAGCATGGGATGAGTAGGATGAATGAGATGAATGGGATGGTTGGGAATCTTTGAGTATGTCTTTATGCATGGTTGTATCTTTGATAGGAGTGCATGCAATTTGGTGCCGGGAGTAGAGTATGTAATGATGCAACAGTGTAGAATCAGAAAGGAGTGGAAAGGTGCAGGTAGAAGGCTTCACGGAGAAAAGGAAACGATAAAGAGCACCAGAACAAGGGAGGAAGGAAAAAGAAAAGAGAGATCAAGGTAGGAAAAGTAAAAGCAAACGAGAATATCAGAAGAACATGCAAAAATGCTTGTATATGCGTTGTGTATGCAGCTATCCACACTCCAGGCCATTACTATCCCGCCCAAACGCAATATGATGAACGCGATACAAATCCCATGCCAATACGCTATAACTATCCCAGCCAGCCATACTATCCCAAACCCTGATATCCCAACTGTAAAATCAAATTCCCTAATGTCATTCATTTGCTCATAAAATCATCCTTGCGTAACATTTCAGAAAATGACGCCTCGAGAACCTAATTAGATCTGTTCCTAGCGTCCAAAAATATGCGCCAACAGAACTCTAGCAGGACCACCTTCCTTAGCCTTATGCTTTGGATAAATCTTGCCAGTGTTCAGTGTATATGTAGCAAGTTTACGTTCGCTTTGGTATCTCTTGACTGGTTTACCTTCAGCTTTGGCGTCGAGGAAATCAAAGATATTAACCCAGACTTTTCCTAGAGCCTATAGACCACAGATATTAGCATCATAACGAGATCATAGGAGAATTTGTAGTATTTACCTTGCGACACTTAGTAATACTAGTGGGTATCTCTTCCAAGCCAACATCGACGCAAAGTCTTTGCCAGTTTGCAAGCTCAGTTTCATTTCCGAAATAATCTTCCCACAAGCCGACTACAGTCTTCTTCTTGGTTTTGGCAGTCTTTGCCTCGACAGAAGCATCCTTCATCACTTCTTTCTTTGGTGGCTCTGGTTCGGCATGTTCTTCAGAAGCTTGATCCTCTTTGAGTCTTTTAATCAACTCACTTGCCGCAGCATGATCATCGAGATCACCCCATTTAAAACCATGACCTATCATGAAATCTTTCATGTCGTTCCATCCCGCGTCTTTGAACCATTTGTAGTTGGATATTTCAACCTGGGCTTGCTCTTCCTCCTGAGCTTGTCGAGCCTTGCGTCTCTTCTTCCGCTCCTTCTCCTTTCTGTTCTTTGCGGCTTTTTGAAGGATCTTCTCTGACTCGGAATCGTTTGTATCTTTGTCGGAAACAGCAATGTTCTGGGGGGAATCGGTGATATTGCTGACAGCGATATCTGCGGGAACAGGGTTCTTGCCCGAAGAACGATTTCGACTTCTACCCTTCTTCTTTTTATTTGTAGAGATATCCTTGTCTGCCTCTTGCTCCAGCTGATCAGCTTTATCTTGCACAAGATTGACATTTTGAAGTCCTATGATCACATCGTGGAGATGGTTTGGATCCGCAGCATGAGGTGAGGTTGAGGGTCCACAGTTAGACTCAGTTTCGGGTGGTGTGTAAACGGGAGCTCCATCGTCGTTGCTAGAGTCGTCGGAAACACTTCGAGGTGGGTTCTGAATGGGGTTCTTCGATTTTTTGGCCATTGTGATAGAGTCCTAGCAAGATTTGGACGGATGTGAAGGTTGTAATCACGAATGATGGATAGTGAGTGATAGCACTGTGGTGGGGTGGGAGGGGTGCAGGTAAGCAAGTTAATATAACTATCTGGTAGTGCACTGTACTGTAGCAATGTGGAATACCGAAACCTTGATATACCTTATTCACATATTATATTTGAATAGCACAATTGATGATGATTTATATGGTGAAGGATGCACCATATGAATGAAGTGAAGTGAAGTGGCTTTGCAGTGATCGATCAATCAATCAATCAATCAATTGGAGGCTATGGTGTGGTTGGTTTGATACGCATGGTTCATGAGAGATTGGAGTGGGTATAGGTAATTATTATTATGGGGTATGGGGTCACTTTTAGGGTCCGCTGAAATGGTACTAGTCTCCACCTTTTTATTACTCAGCCTTGCGCTACTGTAACATTGCAATACTCAATGCGTTCAATTGCTGGAGTTTCTTCAGTTCCTTCAATCAATACCTTCACCAGGTATCTTCTCCGACCCCGGTGCGACCATAGGCAGATTTTGTATCTTTCCATCTTCACCTGTTATTCTTCTGCTCTTACCACATGATGAGGTGGCCGTTCAGGTGAACATGGTACACACAAGGCTTTCGTGTTGGATACAATGGACCCTTGGTACCATCAATAGGGCTTCTCGATGATCGTGTCAAGCCTACCAGGAATCTACGCGTGTTCCCGAAGCATTGGACCATATAATCTGCCTTGCTATCATCCAGAAGGTATTTCAGCCTTGGATAGATACACTGGACTCAGCTCCGGCAAGAAAGGCTTCTCGACAACGTCATTAACAGTGAAGTCCACACGAAATATAGCTATTCCAATCTCCTTGTTCGAATATGTTGGATTTCTGCCTGCTGCAGCATTTCAGCGGCAAGGACAACATGATTTCAATATTGTTCTGCTGTTGGTTGGCAATGTAACCTGCAATGTTCCGACCCGCTTTGCCAGAGAAAGCAATGCTTCTCGCAAAGCATCACCCTCTCAAATGCATCTTCACATAGGATCGGTTGAACTATTTATTGCGAGTGTAATAGCAATTCAAATCATCTTTGTGGGAATGCCGTGAGATTATATTTCAGATCAAACCAATTCTTCGGATCCGGCTGATGATAATTGATTCATCACACAATCAATACAGTAAGGTACCAACAGCTGATAAACGTAAGCCAGAATTTTTTATCCGGGTGTATTCGGATCCGAAGGTTGGACAATGATGTCAAGGGCAACATTTGTCTGAGATGTTGTGTAAATAGCTGCCCGATGAGATGTCCATGGGCGCTTTTCTTTGCATGTTCAGTAATTTGCAACGGTTTTCAGATAATTTCTTTCCTGACGAATTCTTGATTTTCTTTCAAATACAATCAATCTTCTTCAAGACTCACTCACTATTCACCAATCACTTCATTTGAGCGGCACCAACAGTAGAGAGAGATGTGTCAAAGCAGAGTTTTGATCAAACACTGAAAGTGAGAAGAACATTTGCGCGAATCGCTCCCACCTATGATTCGCACCACCAAACCCCATCAATTCCAGGCACTATTTTGAATTTATCAAGGATATTGCGGCCGGTTGAGCGCACCATCATTTCGATTATTAATACATAGAAAAGTCTCGTTCAATTATTACAAATGTTGGAAGCTCAAGAGCGAGGACACACGCGAATGGTTGGATCTGAGGAAACGTTGTATGGTTCCAATACATCACATACTCACTCTGTAGAAAGAGTTCCTACTGGCAGCACTCATAAGAGTCATGTTAGCAGCCACAAGTTTGAAGATCCGTCAAATCTCTCAGACATAGCTCTTGTTAATTATCCAAAAGCACGTATTCTGACTCCCCAGTTTCCTTCAAGACTAACTGAATATAGGCGGATGCTGAATTAAATGATGTCCCCGCACACACTAAACCCAATGATGCACTGGCACCAGAAACCGATTTATATGCAGGCATTGTTGGTTGGGATGGCCAGGACGACCCAAATAACCCTCAAAACTTCCCTCCAAGCCGAAAATGGCTTCTTCTCGGACTAATATCAAGCATCACTGTTGTCAGTCCTCTAGCATCTTCTATGGTCGCTCCTGGTGTGCCCTATATCGAAGAGACATTCAAAAACCATAATGAAACACTCAGTACATTTACTGTTACAGTCTTTCTTCTAGGCATTGTCTTCGGACCTCTTTTCTTATCACCATTATCAGAGATTTATGGAAGACGACCTGTACTATGTGCATCCAATATCGTCTTTTGTCTCTTTCAAATAGGATGTGCTCTTGCTCCGAATCTTACCGCACTCATAATATTTCGTTTCTTTGCGGGCATTGGCGGTTCCGGATGTTTGGCACTCGGTGGTGGTGTGATAGCCGATCTCTTTCGACGCGAGCAACGTGGAGCGGCTTCAGCAGCTTACACAATTGGGCCTTTGTTTGGACCTGTAATAGGACCTATCTGCGGAGGATTCATAGCGGAAAGAGTTGGCTGGCATTGGATTTTCTGGGCTATATTCTGTGCTGGCACAGTAACAACAATTGGCATTGAAATATTCAATCGCGAGACCTATCCTCCTGTTTTAATCCGAAGAAAAACGCAAAAACTTCGGTTAGAGCTTAATCGTCCAGATCTATTATCCTGCTATGATTTAGGAGGTGATCCTAGTACCAGAACAGTTCTTCTCAATGGCCTTCTTCGACCACTCAAGATGTTATTCATGTCACCAATCGTTTTCATACTTTCGATATACATCTGTTTTGCATACAGCTTACTGTACTTATTGTTCACTACAATCACTCCAGTATTTCAAGAACAATACGGATGGAGTGTAGGACTTTGTGGTCTTGCATATATTGGTATCGGCATTGGATTCTTCTCAGGTCTAGCTCTCGTGACGAAAATCTCTGACAAGACAGTCATACGTATGACCGCGGCAAACAACGGTATCTTCGAGCCGGAAATGCGTTTACCAGCTTGCCTTTTCTTTTCATTATTCATTCCCATCACCTTTTTTTGGTACGGATGGTCAGCCGAAAAACACGCCCATTGGATCGTACCAGTCATCGGATTGATTCCCTTCGGATTCGGTATGATGGGGGTTTTCATTCCTATCCAGACATATATTATTGATAGCTTCCCTCTTTTTGCAGCTAGTGCGACAGCCGCTATGACTGCTAGTAGGAGTCTTTTTGGTGCTTTGTTACCGTTGGCTGCGCCAAGTATTTATGCAAAATTAGGACTAGGATGGGGAAATACTATGCTGGGATTCATAGCTGTAGCGATGATTCCCGCAACAGGTTTGATTTATAAGTATGGAGGTCAGATAAGAAAGAGATATCCACTTGATCTATGAGGAATGAGAGTTTCTGGTTCGGTTACGGCATTAGGGTATATGGCTGAATAGATAGATTGAGGAGTTGGGAGTCGGGCAGGGACGGCATTTGTACCTATATGTGTATTATGGTTGACATCGAAAACGAAAAGATAGATGATATTCAATGAGTTATGGTTTACACTTTGTTATTTCGAGGGAGATGTTTCTAATTTTTTACTGCGCAGTATGTTCAAGACATGTGTTCTTTGGCTATCGATGCTCCGAGCGGAGTGTATTGACTGTGGAACTTGGTATGATCTCAATAAAGGTCAAAAAGGAGCGGTTTATAAATCACAATATACAGGATGATATCATCTCATGTTTAGAAAAAGTTCTCTATTGCAAGAAATGTGGAGTTTCATTTCAATGAACAATGTGACGCTTTAAACGAACGTGAGTCCCTACTACCACAGTATCTTTCTGTGTCGATGTTCTCCGAAACTTATTCCACATTCCTCCTTCACATCCAAAGATTCTAACATCGGCGCCCAACCCCATCAATCCATAGCTGCAGTCATATCTCCGAACTCAATCTCCCATGCACCCGTGTCCAGAAAGCAGACCAGCAGAACGGGAAACGTCGTAGTACGACCCAAGAGGAAATTCCTAATTCTTCTTCACATCCGTGTTTCCGCTCCCGTTCTTGATGCTACTCATCGGTGGCGAAGCATTGTAAGAACAAGAGCTTACGCAATGTTTTCGTTGACAATCCACATACTTGCTGAAGGTTTCGATTTGGACCGCTCTATCAAATCGCTTGATGACTTTTCTGGCTGTGGTCCTCTCACACCTATGTGTATTTTAGCGCGGGGAACTGGACCTTGAGAAAGTGGTACTTATATGATGATGGTTTGGTGTCTGGATTTGATTTGATTTGATGAGAAGTGCGAATTGTTGAGTAACGATGTTGTAGATGCTTAGCGTGGTATAGGTAATGATAGTGTTACTGATGCTGTGGATGATGCAGGAGTAAAATTTGAGGACAGGTGAGTGTGATGGCTTCTTACATACTAAAGTCCCTCTTTGAATATGAAAATTGTGGTTTCATGAAGCTGCAAGCGAACTAAGATACTTACAGTGTGCATACGCCTCCAGAATCTTTGAAGTTATTGATTTTCACATTTATTGGTTAGATTTCACAGCCCTGCATGCAATATCCTCATTGTGGGAAGAAGACTAATAGCAATAAGTCCAAATTTCTGCCCAACCTATATCCTTTCCTTTCTTCATCCCATCAGATAAATCGAGATTGACTTCAACCACTTCACGAATTTTTTTTGAAACATTAAATCGGTGCTTATATACCTCTTCTCTTTGTCTATATCTAAGACATAGCTCTGAGGCGCAGAACATAAGGCAGCTGTGCTCAAACACCATCGTATGTATACCTTTGTGTACAGACAGACCTGTATGGAATTCTAAGACCTCAACAATACTCTTTCCGTTCCTCAGGAAGGAATGATCTTTTCTAGCTTATGATCCTCTTGGAGTTGAATTTAATGGTTGGGTTTTATTCGTGAAACAACACCGACTTCATCCGGAATGGGTTGTTCCTGTAATGTAAAGGGGCAAGCTATTATTGCTTCTTAAAAGGCTTCTGATTTTTGTTCCTTGAATATAATTTATCTTGAGTGTCTTGAGTGTGACGTGGAAACAGACTAGAATCTCACGCACTTCAGGCGAAAGAATCGTCACCGAGAGGAAATTGAGGAAGGCTCGGGCTAGAAACTATGCAGCTGCAGTCTGGAATTTAAGCGATAAGATTTAAATGCGGGATTTGGGAAGATGTCAGCCAAAAGACGACCTTTGAAAATGTACTTGTGTGTCGTAGAGGCACCTGGAAATATCAAAGGTAGGAAAAAGCGTGATAATAAAGCGTTGGATGAGTTTGAGAAATTGTTGTGAGTAAAGATGATCGGAGGAACACTCGGTTCGAACAAAGTTCAGAGATATTGTCATTAAGAAGAAACCCTTCCATGCTTACACAGCTAAGACAAGATATGTAATTAGAGGTCGTAGATTGGTTTACACTGCACCAGCTCTAGTTGCGTGGTCAGGCAGCTTCTACTTTTACTCTTTCTTGTCGACATCCTTAGCAATTTACAATGGTAGTGGCCATATACACGCCATGATAATCGGTTGAGTTTAGTCATTTAAAAGGGATTAGAGGCTTGTAGCAATTGGGTGAATTTTGCCAACACTATTAGACAGTGAGTAGACTAATATCCCATGTTATTGGGATGAGACATACATCTAATCACATAACTTTCTAGTAGCACTAAATCCACTACTCTAATTATTCACCCTATTTCAACGATGCGTGTTCTTCGTTTCATTTCCACAAGTTCAGGTGCCTTTGGCACGTCATATAAATACCCTTTTCAACATACAACGTTTGTCAAAAGCACGTAATCAACCTCGACTAAGGTTAATGGCTTGTCTGCTCGTCCCCATCATAGAGTACATTCATGGCACGAAAAAAGATGGTTCAATTCCCATTCTATCTATCTGGCGAATAACTTAAAAACAAGACGACGAGAGATTTGGAGGTAAGATAACCATATAAATTGATAGCAACAACAAATCATCGTCCCGTAACCTATGACAACCATAAAGATTTCACCTCTTACTTACATCACACCAAGTTTTCAGATCAAGATGTCTAGTATTATACAGCATCAACTTAACCGGAACTCTCCCATAGCAATGTTGTCTGTGCATGAAGTCGACCTCTAATGTCAGGAATTCGGTTTGTGTGCTCGATTCAAGGGAGCCTCTCGGCGGAGGCCTTAGATAAATCTCCAAAAAAAGTTCGCAGGGCGGGAAACTGAATGGGCAAGAAGAAGTAAGTGA